GCCCCCGCGCCGGGACACAGGCCGCGCGCGCCCCCGCGCCGCCTCCAGCCCGGGACGGGGCCACGGGGGCTCCCCGTGAAGGCAAAACCCAGCCCCGTTCCACGGCGCGGCGGGGGACACGGCCTCCCGGCTCGGGAACGTTATCGGGCAGCTCTCCTTCAGCGGCAGCGAGTACTGCGCACGGATGCAAGGAGGCTCTTGCATGGATGCAAGGTCTGAAGCCGTGGAAAAGGTTATGCATGCATGGGAACCAGGGCTAACACGCACTGCAGGGTTTCTAAGCCTCCAGTTACTCCTTACTAGAAAGGCAGCTGTAAGTAGCCCTAATGTAATTACAGCTCAGCCAAATACCATTTTCATGTGCTTTTCAGACAAAAATTTTTGTTCTTACTAGTCAGCAGTTTTATAATAGAGATGCATGCACTTAAAAATACACCACATACAACAGAAAGTGCAAGCTCAGTGATGACCGAAAAAAAAATCCACAGATGGGGGAACCAGCAAATCAATCCAGAGCCCTAGGCTCTGGACACCTAGGACAGACACCTAGGCTGTCCTTCCACAACTGACCCCCTCTCCCAGGGTAAAGATGCGAGGAGCTCTCAACAAAGAGGTGCAAGACCCCAGAGAAAGCAGCACGCTATGGAACACAACAGACAGCAAAGAGCCTGCCATGTCCCAGCTGCTTGGGTCTGTGGCACACACTTGCTATTTAAACAGGGTTTACAGACACCAGTTAATAAATGGGAGATTTTTTAAAAATCCAGTTATATTAAATTCTTCTTAAGAAAAAAGATACAGAATTAGTCTTCTTTATTCTCTAGAAGAAATGTTATATAGTAAATCTCTAAGCAGCGTGGCCCAACATCTAGCCAAAATACAAGACTGAAAAATTTGCAACAGTTTATGAACTAATCAAGCGAATGCCCTTCCCTCTGTCATGTTATTACATAATTTAAGGCTCTATTTGCTCATGCAAGTGGACATAAGGATACATGTGTTTTTAACGAGCTCTGTACCCTTCATGCCTGAGGAAGCTTCATGTCTCTGATAATCATTTCTTTGATTTGCACGGACCTAGCAGACTCATGATACCTCGTGGTGCCTTGTGGGGACCGAGTGAGATGAAAGGCACTACAAGCCTACGCAGCAACACAAGCAACTGCGCCACAGATACTTAAACACAGCTGAAAAAGCTGTATTTGCATGGATGTTCTTCTCAGTCAGGACAAGACAACAAACACTCCAGTCTCAGAAGCAATGCTCTCGGCCAGCTAACCTTTCACCAAAGGCCTCAAGCAGTAAGGAGGGGGAGTAACATATGCTGCTTGTTACTTTAAATAGCGTGTCACACACAATCTTCAAGGGGTACACCATTTTAAACAAAGTAAAACGGGGTGGGATCCAGGGACTGCCAAGGCTGAAAATGACAGAAATGTCTCACACCATGTTTGTCACACATCTTCCATTAGTTACAGGCACAATTGACATCCTCATGAATGTTGATAAATTCAAGTTTAGACTTGAATAGATCATACTATGAGTTAAACATCTCTCAGCTTTAAGAGCGTATCATATTACATCATTAAATATTATGACAGTCTTAAAAGTTTAGAGCCTATTTTTGCATTAGATCTATGGCCCTCCCACTCTGATAAAATGCCACTGTTTATCTTTACAAAAAAAGGCAACACTAACTGCTTGAAGATGTTGCGCATCTCTCTCCTAAATTTGACGTCAGTTTAGCTCAAGTAGGTGCACCTATAGCTCACAACACTTATATTATCAGTTGGCAAGTTAATGGAATACGCGTTCTGGCGTATTCCAATCAGGTCAGTCGTACTGAGAATTGTGATGGTTTGAAATCACATTCAGAACTCCTTTTAGAATCCAAACTGGGAATATCAGAGATCAAAAGCTTTGTAATGTATTACATTCATTTACCCACATTGCACCACACTTCTAACTCTGAAAAGCCATAGTCTTCAGCCTATGAAAGGATTCTGGTTAGTCCTGACCTATTGCTTTATGACTCTGATACTCACAAGTTGGCAATGGTTTGGGTAAATTTAGTGCTGACGAAAGATGTTAGATTTGCTGCTCCATAGCCTGAAGTTCTCTACAGGCAGAGCATAGGCAGCATTGCAGACTCCCTAATACTTCCTGTCAACGCGACAGCTTAGCAGGAGGCAACAGGCTTTCCTTTCCTTGCTCATAGTAATGCACGTTCGCTATGATTTCTATAAAAACGGCAGCTTACATTTGGTGTCTGTCACATGCACTTGCTTCTGAAGAAAATATCAATTTTAAATGAAATTAACTTTAATATACAGCATGTTACTGGTAATGGAATGACCTTTTTCATATTGTCTAATGCAGTAGTATTCAAGCATTAAGCAAAGATGAATGGTACTACGATTTAAGCTCTACTTCTTTCAGAACTGCTTTCTAAGTGCAGTACTGTTATATATTGACCCTGATATTAATCACAGAATCATTGTGGTTGGAAAAGGCCTTCAAGACCACCAAGTTCAACCAGAAACTCATCACCACCCTGCCTGCTAAATCATGTCCTGAACTGCCTCATCTACAGGTTTTCTGAGCACTGTCAGGGATAGTGACTCCACCACTTCCGTGGGCAGCCTGTTCCAGTGCTTGACCATCCTTTCAGTGTGGAAATTCTTCCTAATGTCTGACCTGAACTTCCCCTGGTGCAACTTGAGGCCCTTTCCTCTTGCCCTATTTTCAAGTAGTTATTCTGGAGGAGAGATCGAATGAAACAGCATTTGATTAATAAATTAAAAAAATTAAAAAGTACAGTCAGATTTTACAGAGACAAAAAAAATCTTGCTTAGACTTAATTTTACTTTTGGCTATTCACTCTCTGATCTGGGAGAAAGAAGAACACTGCCAAAGCCAAAGGCCATCCCCATAGGTCTAGGGATGCCTACTATGCGTGCATACTACAAAACAAACAAGCAAACAAAAACACTGGGTGAGCTATGAACCCAATAGCAACACAAAATTGCAGTTGGTTAAGAGTTCAAAAACATCACCTGCATTTCAGTATTCACAGTGCAACTATTCGTATTATCTAGGCCCAGATCCCTGTAGTTTACCTCGCACATTGCTCTTAAATAGCTAAATGAGATTTTTTTTGTTGTGGAAGAAGAATTGGAAATCTTTCCACGAAATACCTGATGAAAGTCCGGCACCATTTCTGAATCTTAAGGCATTTGCTAAATCCAATCAAAATCCTGTTTTACTCCCATACTTGTCTCCCTCAGCTACAAAGCAGCGCTAAACAGAAGCTCTCAGCAAATTACGGTCCATGTCTTCCTGAAAACGTACAGGATTTTTCCCCAACATTTATCTGCTTCATAAAATTAAGAATACTACAACAGAAAATACAAGAGATGTTTCTTTTTGGTGGATTTTTTTTTTGTTGTTGGTTTTTGAGATTTTTTAGATAGCTTGACCATAAATGGGACAGTTTTCTACACTTTCACAACCTCACCCTCTGCATCAGTGCCCTTCTCCCTCAAGGCCTTTCACCACTTCATATATTTCAAGTGATTGATATTTCATTACTAGTCATTGTGCATGCACACTGCTAACTACCTCAGAGACTCTGGGCACAGCAAGTGGGTTGGATAATGAGTTAAATTCTCTCTGTTGCCAGGCACTATGCATGGTATTACTTGCAAATGTGACACGCAGTATTGGCAACTTAAGATCTTGTCTTCAAAACTTCACATAGTCTTATAAAATGCAAATTTCACAGAACAACTAACATAAGGCCCCAACTTGGGGGAAAAGTCAGGCTGGCCAAATAAGTGGCATAAACGGACTTTAACAGCAGAAAACAGTTGGTCGTTTCAGACAATCAGTTAACTACAGGAAAGACCTGGAACATAAGCTAAACAAAAAAAAAGGAGAGATTTTAATTATATCTGTTATATT